GATTATTAAATTTTTTTATTGACAAATTTTTAGGAGCTTTAAATAGTTTTTGTATATTATCTTTAGAAGAATTATTTCCTTTATTATTAATTTTAATAATAGAAGATTCTGGTAAACCTAACATTACTTTATGTAAATAATAAATAATATTATGTCTAATACCTTTACTTAATATACAATTACCATGTAATAATAAATGAGAACGAAATGCTAAAATTTGTTCTGATTTTAAAGATATTACAATATTAAGTTAGGAAACATATATTTCACCTTTTTCATAATCTTCTAAAGTAATTAAAATACAAAAACAATTAGCTTCATCATTTTTATTCTAATGAAAATCATTTATTGTATATAAATTAATAACAATCATTGGAAAAATTTCAAAAGATCTTAATGCAAATGGATTCCAAGAAAAATTGCTTAATTTTGTGTATAAATTATTATAATGCTTTTTGACAAATTGATTAATGCAATTTGATAATAGTTTGAGAGTAATAATTAACTTATTTACACATTCTAAATGATTTATATTATGACTACTTATTATATCTGCACTAATATAAGGAAAACTAGTATATTTTCTATAAGCTTTAAAATGTTCTGCCATATCTTTTCAAAAAGAGTCACTTCTATGAGATGGATTATCTAAAGTATGAAAATAATAATCATTAACAGCTTTTGTTACTTATAAAATGATATTATTATTATTAATATTTTCTAAATGTATTAATGTTTAATTATTTTGATCTACAATACATTCAGATTAGTTAAATAATAATAATTTTTTAATTTATTTAATGTATTATTATTTTGATTTGTCTGATCAAATTAATGATTTAGATATAATATTTTTATTAATAATATTAATATCAAATATTATTTTTTGATTTTTTTGATTTTTTAAATCATGGTAAAGTCTTCTCCATTTATTTTTAATAAATTTTTTGATTGTTTTCTTTTTAATTGGTTTTTTAAACCTAACTATTTACCAAACGATTGTCATGATTTTTTATTAATATTATTGTTATTATCGTGATTATTATCATTCTCTTTATCATCCTCTTCATCCTCTTCATCATTCTCTTCTTTATCTTTTTCATCCTCTTTATTCTCTTCATCCTCTTCATCATCTTCATTCTCTTCATTATCTTCATTATCTTCATTATCCTCTTCATTATCCTCTTCATTATCTTCATCATCATCTTCATTATCTTTATCTTAATATTCATCTTGTTCATCATCATTATTATCATTAATTATTTTATTTTTTATTATATTATCAATTAAACTTAAATATGTTA